ATATTCTGTAAATGGTGCCTGGGTGGCTGAAGGACAATTGGATAATGATCTGCACTTTTTCTGCGTTAATAATAATAATCTGCATTTACATCACTATGTAAATGACAGATGTACCAAGAAGGAAAGCCATTGTCTCAGCTGGAAAGAAGTGGGCTAGGAAAAACTAGAAAAGGCTGGATTTTGGGAAATGCATCATGACAGTAACATCTGTTGGAATGCAGAGTAACCTCCCCTGGAAAGTGGTGGGATTAGCATTGCTCCTGACATTTGCAGCTCGATGGGGCAGAACCTGGTTTGATCTATGGCACACTTGGCTTCCAGGAGGCCCTTGGTATGATCCACTAGATTTTTTCCATCTCTGACTCCTGTGACTGTCTGTCTGACTCTCCCTGGGTGATGAAATATCATTATAACCTTTTGAAATAATATATCGGCGCCTGGAGAGCAGAGACTGATTTTCTCATTTGCAAGTGAGAGGCAGTGTGTTAAATTACCACTCCTGTCATTAAATGGATTGAGGAAAAAAAATCTGATGGGCTTGAACCAGGACATATTTCCCCTCCCCAAACAAGCCACCTCAGATTTCCCCTTGTTGGGAGCCAGGAAGGTGAGGATTAGAAGTTTAAATAAAATTCATCATATTCTCTGAGGCTTAGGTTACTTGCTTGACACCTGAAAACGTTTCAGCAAGTCTGACATGGAAGCTTTCTGCTGACTTACAGAGGATGGGGAGCCTGTGCTGTCTGTCAGAGATGAAGAGGCATAAAATTTATCTTTCTGGGCCATGAAAGCTTCTGCTTGTTCATTTGGCTCTGGGAAGTTTGATCCTGAACAACCTGGTCTGTGTGGAAGGTGTCTGTGCCCATGCAGGGGGTGGAACTGGATGGGCTTTACAGTCCCTTCCTTCCCAAACCATCCCATGATCCTGTGAAATGTGAAAAAATTACTGTGCTGATAAACACAGTGACCAAGTAATTGTGTAAGTAATTGTGCTCAAGAATTGCACTTCTGCATCTTTGGAGCAGCAATGAGAAAGTTGTAATGTTGTTCCAGCTGATTTTTTAAAATCACGTCAAGCAGCTGATGCAGTTCTTCATAGCATTTATTTCATGCAGGGCAAAGTATTGATAATCATCTGGTACTGCTGAGCATTGTAGCTGGCAACATTTGAAACTCCAGACATGGTGATGAATTGCTCTATGATATATTAATGTTATTTTGATCCCTGCTCTTTCAGAATTACATTGATCCAATTAGGTTAAGTAGCTTGCCATCTAAATTAATTTACTTTCGTCTATTAATCTCCTTTACCCTGAGTCAAAACCAGAAATGTAAATCAATCCATTGTATTGCATATCTTTGGCGGGGGGTGGGAGGGTAATTAAATTACCTGATAGATACATATGCTGGATTGATTGTTTGCTATGTTGAACATTATTGCCATAATTGGAAAGTGAAGTGGTGCACACTCAGTAGTGGAATTTGAGTGCTTGTTACACTTAATTTTCATAACCTGTCAAGAAATGCCTTGCTGTCCTTGGGTACCAACCACACACACCCAGCTACACAGCTTTTAGGATATTGGACATTTTTCAAGTGGAGATAAAAGCTCCTTCCTCTGCCAGGAGCTGCTGGACTCCCTGGCAGCATCTCACAGGTCCTGACCCTGTGCAGGGTGGGGAAAACAAAACCTTTCCCTGGCTCATCCTCAGGCTGGCAGCAGAGCAGATGTCTCAACAGTGATGTCTCAGTTCCCAAACTGAAGGAGGGGCAGTGCAGAGCCCTGAAAAGCTGTCTTCTTCTCCCAGTGGCACGTGAAATTTCCATGGTTTGATTTCATGGAATCACAGAATGGTTTGGGTTGGGAGGGACCTTAAAATCCACCCCTGCCATGGCAGTGTGACACCTTCCAGTGTCCCAGGAGCTCCAAACCCCAATGTCCAGCCTGGCCTTGGGCACTGCCAGGGATCCAGGGGCAGCCACAACTCTGTGTCCCACACTGGGACATTCTTTTGCTTTCCTTAGGTCAGTCCAACAGTGGGATTCCATCATCTTGGTGCTCTCACCAGCCTTTTACAGGGGATTCACACTGGGAATTCTTCCTTTCAGCCAGTATTTTCAGGATCTATATCAAACTTTCATCCTGACAGGGACGTTGCTGACACCAGGAATTTGTTTACCTGCTACGTTTCCTCACTTTAGTGGGAAGAACTCATGGAAGACTCAAACAAAACAGATAAAGCTCTGATGTGAGGGAATGAGATCCCATCCAGTGGCTGGAAACTGAATGTTGGCACAGTTAAAACAGATACAAAGTGCAGTGGTTTTAGGATGGGCTTAGTTAAAATCCTGCCAGGTTTGTGATAGCTCCATCTTCATGGAGATCGAGGCAAGGGCTCTTTACAGTGGGAAAATGGATCTGGTTCCTTCCCTGTCATTGTAGCAGAAGATAAATTCGGGTCAGGTGACCCCTGTTTTGGGGCAGGGCAGGCTGGTGATCACAAATCCCTTCTGGTATTCAAACCTATGGATCTATGAAGTATTTTCTAAATCTGTGCCTCAGAGTAGAATGAGCAGCAGCAGAAAGGTCACCTTTATCATCATTGCTGTCAAACACCTTGGAAACAGCAGAGCACAAAGCAAGTCAGTTGCTCAATCACTTTGCCCTTCTGCTACATCTGTTACCTTTACCTGTACTTTTGTCCCATTAAATGAAACTCACTCCCCTGTCCTGGATGAAACCCCATTTCCAAAAACTGCACAGTGAAACTCTGTTGGCTTCAGCAACGGGATCTTGCCTTTACAAAGGCAATTAATGCCTGCCAAGTGCAGGAGTTAGCAGTGTTAGATAAATAATGATAATTATGAAAGCAGCTGCTCTTTGAAATAATGAGACAGCTGGAAACAGAGAGGGACTTTTTGCAAGAGAGTGTAGTGACAGGACAAGGGGAGTGGCTCCGAACTGACACTGGTTGGGTTTAGATGGGATTTTGGGAAGGAATTCTTCCCTGGCAGGGTGGGCAGGCCCTGGCACAGGGTGCCCAGAGAAGCTGTGGCTGCCCCTGGATCCCTGGCAGTGCCCAAGGGATGTTGGATGGAGCTCTGAGCCCCCTGGGACAGGGGAAGGTGTCCCTGTCCTTGGCAGGGGAGGAACTGGAAGGTCTCAAAGGTCTCTTCCAAACAATTCCATGACTTGGGTACAGCCCCCTCTGCTCCTGGCAGGGTTTGTGGAGGCTGCAGGCACCAGAGGTGAGATCCCCACTGCAGCCAAGTGTCCCTGTGGAGCTGGTTGGTGTAAACCTATTATTGTGTATCTAAACCAACACCAGATGTTTGGTTGGGCACCCAAATCCTGCTGTGGGTGCGGTGGTTGCCTGAGATCCAGTGCCTAGAAACCCACCAAATGCTGCAGTGTTTTAGCATTCCATATCTGTTAATACGCTAATATTTCCCACAAGCTGAAAAATTTTAAAGTTAAATGTGAGAATCTCTGCTTGAATGCTCACTATAATGTGTTGGTGCTTCATTTTTTTGCCTTTCCACTTCCTTATTTTCCTTTTTTCCTTTTCTTTCTTGTTTTTTGTCTTCTTTCTTTCTTCTTTATTTATTTTTAAGAGGCTTTTAAAGCTGGGTTTTCTCTTTAATAAGTGTTTGTAGAGTTCCTAGCACCACCAGATCCTGATGGAGCCACTAGATATTAATGTGCTGCAAATTAATCAGTAATGAAAATTAAATGTGTGTTTATGCTCCAGTTATAATGTTTATAAAAACACAAGAAATGTGTACCACGACTGTGTGGTGGTTCCCACTACAATATTTGCAAGGATGCAGCATTAACCAGCTTTAAATAAAAGAAAGGGCCTGGTTTGTTCAAATGAACAACCCAAGGGGGAAACACCTCTTAGAAGTGAAGAAGTGAACAGAATTCTTAGAGGAACAGAATGAACATTGTGAAACACAGAGCCAGGGATTTTCAATATTCTACACTCTCCAGTTTTCTGAAGGTGATGGTGGCATTTACCTCTTGTCTCCTTCTGTATTGTGCTTTTGCAGCTCACCAGAAATTTTGTCAGAACTCAAGGATGTTTGTGATGAGGAGCACAACTCAAGACCTGCCTCAGGAGTAAATGTGAATGAGTATTCCTCCTCCTGGCTGTGTCAGAAATGCTCTTTAGATAAGGAGTTGAAAACAGATCAGTAGCAAGACTTCTTTCTTTAAAAAAAAAAAAAAAAAAAAAAAGAGGCAGATGCCTGAGATGAGTTCCCTACAAAAAGAGGAGTTTCTCTGGTTGTCATACACATGCCCCTCCCTGGAGATTCCTGGAAAATGACAACTGCAAGTCCAAATTTTTTATCTCATTGCCAAAGGCAGGAGGGGAAGTGTGGAGGGAATGGGAACAAACTGCTTCATCCCAGACATGATCTTGCAGAGTCTCCTGTGAAATCGTTAAATTTCCATTGGTGAGTTTCCTTTCAGATGATCAGGGTAAATCCAGTGCTGTAAATTCTGTGGTGTTCATGCAGTGTTTTCCCTGGAGTGTCAAGAGGAGGAGTTTGCTTCACTCACCAAGTGCTAAATGAGTCTTTGGGTGGTCACTTGCTGATGAATACAACAGATTAGATGGAAAAATAAGGAACACAGGGAAAACATTTTCCTTTTCAACAAACCACCATTACTTAACAATACTCTAAACCCCAGATCTCCCTAGATTTAACCTAAAATGTGTTGAAAATTACGTGGAAGATTCAACACTGAAATGTGCTGGCACAGAGTCCTCATTTGGAAGAGAAAACAGTCTGGAAACTTGTAGTCTATTCACAACTACCACAGGAAGTGTTCGTGTCCTGCAGCTTCAATATTTGGAGTTCCGTTTTCCCTTATTCCCCGTAGCCGTTGAATCCTTAATGCCTGGCTTTGATCCTTATCTCAAACAGAACCACTGAAGGATAAATTCAAGGTGAGGTGGCCTCAACATTCCCTGTGCTGTGTTTTTTTCCAGGGGCCTGCTGGCCAGAGGCTTCACAGAGACCCACTATCTGCAGGATGGCACTGACGTGGTTCTCGCACGCAATCACACGGTAAGGCTGGGCTGTCCTGGGGAGAGAGGATGCTTCATCCTTAAAATCCAAAATATTCTCCGCCAGGATCTGAGCCCTGGGATGAAACAGCTCAGCGTGTGGTTCTTCTTTTTTTTTACTGTTGCCTTCAGTGTCTTTGTGACTGCTCTGATCCTACACATGAATTTTTAGAGGCAGCCTTTAAAGGCGAGCTCTGGGGTTTGAACCACGTGGCTTTTAACATTTATGGGGTTTTTTTTCAGCTCTTGAAAATAGACCCATTAAAATGTGATAATTATGGCAGCCGTGGCTGAAAAGCCTTGGTTCTGTTTGGGGAAAAAAACCCCTAAATATCTGATTTCCAGAGTGCAAAAGTTCATGTCAGAGGTTGGAAGGCTTGGTTGTCTTTGCTCACTGGGGAAGTCATGGGTGGCGTTTGGGGGAGGGTGTTGGTTGGGTTTATTTTTAAATCCAGGCCACAAGTGTGTTGTGGATGTACTTTATACTTGTATTTGTGTGTATGTATGTGTGTATTTATGTACATGTATAAATATGGATCTATACAAAATATGGCTTGTTAAAAGAAGCAGTTAAAATCTGCTTTTTACAAATAAAACCCCCTTAAGGCAGGAATATTTTTTTGTCCTCTGACAGCATGAACGCCTTAATTAGAAATAATGCAGCAAGGCATTTTAATTACAAACCTTATCTTTTATCTGACTAAGTCCCATCAAGTATTTGCTCTGTTATGGTATTTACTCACTGACACTACCAGCAGAGACACCATGCTTTGTGTTCCCATCCAGAACGGGCTTTGCTGGGATCAGGGGAAGGAATTATTTCTCTGCATAACATCTTACTTCTGAAGAAGCATCTTCATTATAGCTGCAGACATCCCAAGTAAAGCAATCATTTGGAAAGCTTTCAGGGCTTTCATTTTGCTGGGTGCTCATATCTCCTTTGAAATCAGCTCAGGAGAAAATAGTCATTTGTTTTGGGAGCAGGAAGGCTGCAGAGACTCCTGAAGGAAGTGAAAGGAAATAAATGAAACACATGAGTCTTTCAGAGACTTACCTGAGTTAACAGGAGTATGTGTACAGCTAATGACAGGTTTTCCTTGCTAAAATACAATATCTGTTTGCAAAATGGCAAAGTAAGTCATGATCAGTAATGACAGTGCATTTTGCTGCCTAAAAAAGAGAGCTCAGTGCATTCATTTTTCATTAAATGCTGCAATACGGTTGAGAAAAGACAAGTCTCTGATTTTATTTTTATATCTCTTCTTCAGTGAGGACATCAATACAGTCTGGAGTTGAAACTAAATCCGATTTTCCACTGAAAAGTTGCTTAGTCAAATTCTGCTTGGAGGTCAAGGCAGGTTTGTGGAGCTGTCACTTGGGCAGTTCTCTAGCACACAAGTCAGTGGCTAGGTTATTTTTCAATTTATAGCACCTGGAAAATTGTCAAAATCTGCTATTTATTAAATGATCTCAAGCAAGGGTAGAGTACTGTTTTAAGCATGATGGATTAGCCTTGGTAATTATTTGTTTTTAAGGGGTCACCCATTTTATAAACCAGTTTGCAGGAATAAAAAGATTTGATAGCAAAAAAAAAATTCTGCAATTCAGTGGAATTACTGAGCTAGGGAAAATTGTCAAAATCTGCTATTTATTAAATGATCTCAAGCAAGGGTAGAGTACTGTTTTAAGCATGATGGATTAGCCTTGGTAATTATTTGTTTTTAAGGGGTCACCCATTTTATAAACCAGTTTGCAGGAATAAAAAGATTTGATAGCAGAAAAAAATCCTGCAATTCAGTGGAATTACTGAGCTATAAATCAATTTTCTCCCAGTCCTGTTGCAGGCCATGCTCTGCTAAGTTTACATTTTCGATATTGAACTTTGGCATCACATAGCTGGATCTCAGAGAAATTGTGAAATGGGCCACAACCAGGACTCAGAGTTAATAAAATGACAAGTTGTATGTGGAGAGGGAAAGGAATCAGGCCCTTTGCCATAATTCACTCTTAGATAAAGACAGGTGGACCACAGCAGCAGCTGCATGGGGTGAGATATTGGCTCCCCTCCCCATTTCACTCTGCTCAGCTCTGGTGATGCTCAAACCCAAAGATTTCTTTCTCAGGAGCTCTGATCTTCACATCTGCCTCGTGCTTGCTTTAAGCAATGAGAATAAAGCTATTTTATTTTGGCTTTTAGCATATAAGAGATTGAGTGCTTGAGTGGGAGGGGCATTGATTTTTCTTCTATCAGCTGGATGCATGGAACTGATAACACTGAAATAAAGTGAAATAGTGCACCCACACCGAAAGTTTGACATCCACAGCAATTGTAACTGAAGTGACCACCCCAAAAAATTCAATCTGTGCCTCCCTTCTATTGAGGCTTTATCTTTGCTAATGTGTTACTGACTCTTTGTGAGGATTGATGATAAAAATACCCAAGAGTAAAACACTCTCACCCCGTTTCTGTCATTTCTTCCACTGACAAAAGCCACTGAGATTTGTATTTAGAAAGTCAGAGCTGGCTGCTCTGTGTTCACTTGCTCGTGCTGGAAATCAAACAAACATTTTCCCTGGCATAAACTTATTTACAGAAAATTCCTGTCTGAATCATTGCATCTTGCCCAGACTGTGGCTTTCTTCACCAAAATCAAGGCGCTTTTTAGAAATCTGCTGTGAGTGAAAACCGTGCCCCAGCCTGGAAAGGTTAATTAATGCAATAATGAACCAAGCCCTGAGAGGCACAGGGAGATGACTGTGGGGCTGCAGCACTGATAACTTCCCTCTGCACTAATCAGATGGGAACCTTGCACAGCAGAGTTTTCAGTTTCCAGGTGGTATTGGGAATGCAATATCACCTTTAGTCAATAAAATTAGCCTTGATTCCAGACAGATATGTGGATGAGCTTAGAAACTCTCTGTTGTGGGTGCCTTTTGCAAGCAGTGGATTATTGAAGAAATATAATAACCTAGGCACAAAATGAAATTGGGCTGTTGTCTCTCAAAATAGAAGCCCCCCCTTTATTCCTGGTTGTTTTTAATAACGTGCTGTTACTTTGTTGGGTATTTCAATAAAAAATTTCCTTTCCAACCTCTTTCCCTTCCCCTTCATTTGCTTTGTGATTTTTATTTCAAGTTCTGGGCTTGGGATTAGCTTTGTTATACTCCTCTTTTCACATACCTACCTCCTATAGAGATACAGAGATTTAAGTGTCCTTAAATAAAAATAGGGGTCTATATAGAAAACAGTAAAATGCAGCAGCTGATTTGTTAATCTGATATTTTATAATTATAAAATATTTAAACAATATAAATAATACAAAAATTTAAAATAATATAAAACGTTATTAAATATTCAATACTGTAGCTTTAAATACTTAACACAGAAAAAGGGGGTCAGTCAACAAATCTAACATTATTAATCCTTCACAAAATAAGAACAAAAAACCAAACAAAAAACCTCCTATAACTTTCTGGGATTTAGGAGCACCCAAGGTTTCCATTTAGGACTGTTTGAACACAGTTTGTTCAAACAAATATCCCACCAATATTCTCTGTTTGAGGACAGAGAATATTGGTGGGACAGGAAAGGTGCTGTCAGTGAGACTCTGAATGCTGTGGCCTGAAACTGATCATCACCTTGAAATGAAAGGGCTGGAAAGCCAGGAGCAGAGGGCATCTGTGAGCAGTGAAATGTTTTCTGTTCCTGCACAGGGTCACTGCTTTTACCACGGCCAGGTCCAGGGGTTCCCCGGCTCCTCCGTCAGCCTCAGCGCCTGCTCGGGACTCAGGTGAGCCCAGACCTCTGCAGTGATTGAGCTCCTGAGTGCTTGCTTTGGCTTTTAATGCATGGATCAGTACTGGGGAAGGGGCTGGAGCCCCAGGAGGGGCTGAGGGAGCTGGGAAGGGGCTCAGCCTGGAGAAAATGGGGATCAGGGGGGACCCTCGGGCTCTGCTCCCAGGGAACAGGGACAGGAGCATAGGGAACGGCCTCAGGATGGACCAGGGCAGCTCAGGGTGGATATTTGGGAACAGTTTCCTCATGGAAAGGTTTGTTCAGGCCTGGCACAGCTGCCCAGGGCAGTGCTGGCATCCCCATCCCTGGAGGGATTTGAAATCCATGTGGATGTGGCACTTGGGGACACGGGGCAGTGGTGGCCTTGGCAGTGCTGGGAATGGTTGGACTCTGTCATCTTAGAGGGCTTCTCCAACAGAAATAATTCCATGATTCCATCTCTTTTTCAAATGTTGGATGAATCCCTACATAGCATTTTCCCTCTGGTTGCTCTAAAGAGAAATAAAACAAAGAATAAACAACACATTTTTGGGTTTTTTTCCAAGAGCCATCCCTTCTCTCCTGCTGCCCATCCTTCTCTGTGCCGTGGCACATTTTCATACTGGCAGCGCCCAGTGGCTTTCCAGGCCTCTTTGTCCTCAGAACTGTTTCACCAGTGCTGTCAGCACTGCTTTGCCAGCTGTGGAATCACTCATTATCCAGCAGCCTCATCACTACGAGAGGCGGCTTTAGAAATCAAAGATTCTATGATACAGAGAACGTGCAAGGTTGTGGAGCTCAGTAATTGTGTTTATGGCAGGTAGGATGCTCAGCTTTTGGATTTCAGCTGCTCATTAACAGCAGATTCCTGTTGCTGAAAGTCAAACCTCTTCCAGTTGGACAAAGGAATGGGCTGACAAAATTTCACGTACACAACAGACACAGTTCAGGAAACAATTATCTTTCTTACTTGGACAATCAGAGACTGGTATTTACTCACAGAGCTGTTCCAAATCACAGCAATTAACTGTAAATTGGCTTTAGGTTCTCCCTGGAAAACCCAGTTTTCCTGTCAGATTTCCAGCTGTCTCAGCCTTTTCTGGGTTTAATTTATCTGCAAACAGCAGGAGTAGCTGGAATCTTTTCCCCTTGATTTTGCATTTTGGGCAATAGTGGCATTGTCAAGGCTTTTGTAAGGGAGCTCTGGGACAGACAGAAGCAGAGAGAGCAGAGTTTGATCCTTCTCCCTCTGGGAATGACCCATTTGCTGTAGTGGATGGGATTCCTTTGGCTCATTCCCACACAGAGAGGGGCTTTATGGGTGCTTCACTATGGATCCAGCATCTTCCAAAAGTTTAATAAACCCCTTACATGAACAGTCAGCATTTGTCTGTCATTCTCACTGTAAAACATCTCCAGAATTTAAAACTGTTTGTAAAAATCCAGTGCAGAGCTCTCAGTATTTCAGTTAAAGGATCACAATGATGCAAGCTCCCCAGGGAAAATTTGTACCTTGTGGGACAGGGTCTGCGTTGATGTCCTTGTTCCAGAGACACCTGGAAATTACTCACTCTCAAGAGAAAATGCCCTTCTCTGCATTAGAAGTCTTTTCTTCCTTCTCCAAAGTGCTCTATTTGAAATTGTGGCGCTCCAGAGTCGTTTCCCAGCTTTAGGAGCTTCAGACGTGTCAAGACAGCAGATGCTGGCAGGGACATTTTCCTGGCACTGGTGCGGACAAGTCCCCAAAGTGCAAGCTGACAGGACTGGGCTCCTTCTCTGCAGGGAAGCAGAGCAGCACCTTTTTCAGTACAAAACTGCAGAAATTTCCTTTGCAGTGCATGTTTTGTTCTAGTAGGAGATCAGATGGGGAGAAATCTCAGTTTCTGTGCCCATTTCACTGCTGAGCTTGGCAAACAGTGTCCATGGCTGGGAACAGTTTGTGATAAGAGTTCTGTGCCTGTTGATTCACTCCACCCAACCTGTTTCACAGCCCAACAACCAGCAACTCCCAGACAGAATAACTCTCAGATATTGCCTGTGCTTGATCACAGAAACACAGAATGGTTTGGGTTGAAGGGACCTGAAAGCTCATCCAGTTCCACCCCTGCCATGGGCAGGGACACCTTCCCCTAGACCAGGCTGCTGCAAAAAAAGCACAATCCAGAAAAGCTTCTTGGCTTACTTTGCTGGCAGCTTTGCTGGCTTGAAAAAATAGATCGGGATGGGATGGGATGGGATGGGATAAGATAGGACAGGATAAGATAAGACAGGATAAGATAAGACAGGATAAGACAGAACAATGTACTTGCCACCAACTTGCTGGAGCAGGGACTCTTGTTTTCCACAGCATGATAAAGACTCCAAGCTGCAGGAGCAGGGACATAAGGCTCTGTGTGGCCATGGAGCCCCAGGTGGGGACAGTCCTTGGGGCAGCCCTTTCACTTGCAGCAGCTGTTGGAAAGGAGGCCAGGTCTCGTTTTCAGGGTCTGTTCCTGGCTTTGTGACAGTTTCTAAGTGAATCAGACAAATCTCTTTGTCTCAGTTTCTCCATCTGTGAAATCCATTGAATGATTCTTACCTACCTCACACAGCTGCTGCGTGGAGCTGGGGTTCAAGTGCCTGAAAAACATCTAATGAAAGGAAGTGCATGCTGTCAGCCCTCTGAAATCCTGGAGAACCAATATCTTCCCCCTCCCACCAGACAGGCACCCTGGGCATTGTTCCAGGTGTGGATAGGTCGGGGCTGTGCATTTTCCCCCAGACCAGCAGAGTTCATTGAAAGACATGAAACTACTCATAAAGAATAGGTCCCACATTTCAGTGTGCTCTGAAGCCTGCGCGCTCAGCAGCAGTCAAAGAAGCAAAAGGGATCATAGGAATTTCTGAGACAGAAATAGAGGATAAAACAAGAATCCTCATTACCACTTTATAAATCCACAGAGCACTCACATCTTGAGTTCTGCATGCAGTTCTTGTTTCCCCCTCCCCTGCTCCATCCCAGAAGAGGAAGAAGCAATATATCCAGAGAAGGTACAGAGAAGGGCAAAAATTGTGATCAAAGGTGTGGAGCAGCTTTTATCCAAGGAGAGAAAATAGACTAGGATTTGTCACTTTTGAAAGGCGATGACGGAGAAAAGTAGCACGATGAAACAAGGTTGAGTGTCACACTGGAGAGGGGACAATCACTGAATAGTCTTCATAACCTCTAAATTAGGAGACATCAGCTGAAACTTGAGAGCAAAGGAAAGTACTTTTTTTATTCACATAACGAAGCTGGAGCTGTCACAGGTGGGAGTCAGTGGATCACTGACAGTATCAATGGATTCCAAAAGGATGTGACAATTTGGGAAGGGGAGCTCAGGGAGCCTCTGCAGGGCTGTCAGACCCTGAGCTGTCCCTGGCACTGCTGCTCTCAGAGCTGGGGCTGCTTGTTCTGTTCTTGTCTCTCACTCCTGAGCTCCTGCTGTTGGCCAAGGCCAGAGAGGAACTGCTGAGCTGGAGGAACCTTGCTCTGACCTCCCCCAACCATCAAGGTCTTCCCTCCACATGGCTGAGCAGTGTGCCACTGTCATATTTTCTGGAAAAATCCCTTCACCAGGATTTTCTCCTGGGAAGCTGAGAAGCCTCAGAGAAAAAGGAAAACAATAATTATCTGATTTGCTTCTCCTGTATTTTGCTGCTTTGGAATGTGTTTGGACACTGTTTACCCACAGGTGATTGTTTTATTGGCTTCATGTGAATTGTTTTGGCTTAATTACCAATCAGTGTCAAGCTGTTTCAGGAGAGAGTCACGAGTTTTTCATCAGTATCTTTAGCCTATTGTCTGTAGCCTTTCTGTGTTCTTTAGTATAGTTTAGTATAGCATTCTTTAATATAATATAGATAATAAAATAATAAATTAGCCTTCTAAGAACATGGAGTCAGATTCCTTCATTTCCTTCCAACGGCGGGGACCCAGAAAATACCACAGATGTGTTTTCAGCTCCTGAGCATGATGTGATTGTTCTGTGATGAAGAAGAATTGTGTGAAATCTGAATACTAAGGTTAGTCTGGTTTAAGCTTTTTAGGCAGGCAGAGGGATGAGAGATGAGGAGGAGAGAGGAGGAGGCTCAGCTCTCTCAAACACACATTTTTCAGCTCTGTTCCATCCTCACACACATAACATTTGAGCTCCTCACCTCACGTAGGAGCACAATAGTGGGATTGGCACTGAGAGCTGCCTAAAATGCAGGTTAGAGGAGAATATAATCATGCCTTAATCTGTATCCTGCTGGCTGCTCCGAGAAGGAGGAGCTGGATGGCAGAGAGGGCTCAGGAAATGCTGAGTGCACAGAAAGGGAACAATGGCTAATCAGGATTTCTGGGTGTCCGTCTGGATCAGAAAGCCAATTAGACTGTCAGAGCTTGTGGGAAGGTGAAGGTACCACAGAGTTGAGCCATTTCCTTCCTGTCCTCAGGAAATACCCTTCTGTTTATCCAGCTTGGAGGCTCTTCAAGTTTTTAGCAAATAATTTTGGCCTGTGGCCACCGCTCACATCTTCCATGATAAATTTGTTTGGACTTGAATGATTTTTCCTGATTGCTTTCCCTGTGAGTGCTGAATCCACCCAGAACTGCAGCCTGGAGAAGGGCACAAACCTCCCTACAGAAGCATCTGCAGTGACCTCTCAGTTGTGGGGAGCTTGAGAGGTGCTCCCAAAAATTCCTCAGGAGCCTAAGGATAGAAATCTCCCAGGAAGCCTTTTCCTTCTGAAACCCCAAAATGCACTTGAGTATCCTCAGATATTTTACCCAATTGTTGGGTAATTAACCCAGTCACACATACAGAAGGTGTTCAGTCTTGGTCCAGCCTCATCAGCAGCTGAAAGATGCAGTGTCCACAGTGACAGGGATGGGGCAAGGCCCCAGAATGGAGTTGATGCTCATTTTTACTGGGATTACAGAGTGATGGTACCCAAGGCTGCCAATAGCATTTTTCAAATGGTCTGGCTGAACTCACTGCAGCCCAGACACAG